ATAAGCAAAATCGATTTTTCAAAATTTTTGGAAAAAATTCCTCGGCACCCCCTGTCGATTTTGTCAAAAACTGAAATCTCTCAGATCGCAACTAAAATATGCTCACAGATAGTTCATTTTATGTGGAATTCACTGTCGAAAACCGTTTTCCGATATCTCTAACAGATTTCGAGTTATTTGAGAAAATCTACCATGAATCTCAAAAACAATACCGTTTTTGTAAAGTACGTAAAGTACTTTTTGAAAATAGGGGCTGCTCGGAGTTGACAAGACAAGAATATTTTTTTAATCGACAAAGACCGTATTTAACCGTAGTTTGTGTTCCTTCTCACCTTTATACCCGAAAATATTTTTGCGCATAGACAAACTACGGTCAAGAGCGAATTCTGTGGCGTCTCTCGCACAGGTTCGTCAGTCGTTTTGCGACGCGGGCATCGTGAGCGTCGTGACGTCGGGCGTCCCTTGCAAACCGTCCATTTACGCGATCGTCGCTGGTTCGAGTGGTTTTTGGCTGTTTTTCAGGGATTCTCTTATCGTCATCTCGTTGACAGTTCTGTATATCAGTACAGTGTCGGTTAAAATTCCGTTTTTTACCGTGTTTGGACAAATACAGGACTAATAGTTTATCTATATGGTTTAATATGAGATCATGATATATAAGATCGTAGATCTAAACTTGTTTTGGGCTTTTCGCGGAAAAAGTCATAAGTAATTATGCAGGTACTGAGTTTATTTTTTAATTAGTAAAATAAAAAAAAAACACTTTATCAAAATTATTTAAAAGTATTGATAAGGTTTGATTTGGTTTGGTTATAACAATATTTACAAATTCGGTTCTTGAATAATGAGCGAGAAATTTGTTACAGAAATTCCAAATAAATTTGCATTATTAACAAATAGTTTTTTACGACAAATTTATTCAGTATATTTGATAATATTTAAAACTGGTAACTAATTTATATCAAACATGTTTAGTATTAGTATTTATTTATATTGGTTCACGTCAAATCTATTTGCACTTAACAGATGTTAATTTTATTCAAAATTAATTAATCATCTTTTCACTCAAATACGAGACCAATTTCTTTCAATTATTATATTATATTAATATATTGATTCTGTTGTATTAACATTTAACTAGTTTTAGACATGACGTATGTTTTATAATGGCTATCTATTAAATTACTTTCCTTAAAATTCTAGGAGGTACCAGTTTTACTAATGTTTCAATAGTTTAACATAAACAAATAATATTTATGTTAATGATATAATTATCAGCTCTATATTCTTGTTTTAATTCTTTTATATCTACATGGATTCAGGAGTTTATTTTTAAGGTTTAAGGTTTTGATATTGTATATTTTACTAGCTAATACAGTTGGAACCGTAGCACCTAGCAGTGAAGTTAAGTAAACTGTCATGTTGGATCATATTATTGACTGTTATTGAACTTTTTGTTGGAAGTTTTAACACTAAAAAAATAAACTAGTGATCTCGCCATAATAAAATAATATATTACACGTAAATGTCTGGAATAGTTATTATATACCGGGTGCGTCTCAAAAGTGGCTCAGCCCTATAACTTTTTATTTTTTCAGTTAAAAAAAACTAGATTTGGAATGTTAATATATGACATGAATTAGGATTGATTGACGTATTCAATTGTTTTTGGTCACTTCCTCTTTTACCGGAAATGACTACAACTTTTCGTTTTTAAATGGCACCCACGGTATTTTTTAACTTTATTTGATAGAAAATGACCTTCTGAATAGAATGACTTATCATATGTCAACTTTTGACATTCTTGCTTAGTAAAAAATCTTTAAATTTCAATCTAGAGTGCCATGGCTATGTTAAAAACACTAATTCTTAATCAAGGAGATTTGGAAAAATATATTTGATCGTCTAATGTTTTTAGTGTCTTGTCCTGGCCAGTTAGAAAATGCCCAAATCATATTTTTAATCATATCTCAATTTTTTCAAATGGAACGAGGGTGGCTCATTAGCATATTTGGAAAAAGCATTTTTTACGAATAATTTGAGACCACACACTTGGTATTTCGAGTCAAATTTTCGTTACAAACCGCAAATTATAATTTCAAATAAACCATAATATGCGAAAATGTCAATAGTTAACATACGATATGTCATTCTATTCAAAGTGTTATTTGCTATAGAATAAAGGAAAAAAATACCGAGGGTGCCATTTAAAAATCAAATGTTTTAGTAATTTCCGGTGAAACAGGAAGTGACCGAAAACAACTGAATAAGTCAATCAATCCTAATTTATGTCATATACTAACATACCAAATCTCGTTTTTTTAACTGAAAAAATAAAAATGTTAAAGGGGTGAGCCACTTTTGAGACGCACCCGGTATACGTGGAATCTTCTACACCCTTATTGTGCAACAATACAGGTATATATTTCATTTCACTGCCCACTTTTACATATTTTCTTTTAATCAAAATATTTTAAAAAACAAAAATAAATTTAGTATAAATACACTCATCACAAAAAGTATCGCATCGCCTTTGTTTTTTCCATAAGACAATGTGTAAACATGTTTTAGCGAAAATCCTAATTTCTCCTTTTAAAAAGGAGCTATCAAGCTGTACAAGAAACGTTATAAAGGAAAATATCTTCAAGTTTTGACAATAAAAAAGTTCTACGGTTATCAGAAAATTCTACAGACTGTTTTAAGACTTCAAAGAGAGAGTGTTCCTATGCTAAGCATAGAGTAAAATGCGATTTTATTTAGTTAGAAATTAAAAATACTCTGTGAAATTTATTGATAAGAATATTATTTTTTTCATTAGAAAATCTTAAAGTCATTTTCTTTTTTAACGTTTTAATTCCCCTTTCAGCTTGATAGCTCCTTTTCAAAAGGAGTAAATAGGATTTTCGCTAGGACATGTTTACACATTGTCTTATGGAAAAAAACAAAGGTGATGCGATACTTTTTGTGACGAATGTTTATAAACAGTTATTATTTACATCAACAAACGTTCAACAACGCTTAAGGAACATAAAGGGTCATTACTACCGATTTCCCGTTCAAAATATTCTATTAAAGTTGCGATGAGTTTTTTTACGGCTGTTAAGCTATTTTGTACACTTTACACTAAAAGAGGATCTAAAAAGAATAATGTTCGACGGCAAGGTCTGCTTGTAAATATTTTTAAGCTTAAAGTATCACAACACTATTTATTTAAACCAAAAACTCGTTATACAAAACTAAAATGTCAAAACTAATGACAATGTCAGGAAGTAAATAAATAAATAAATGTAGCAACTTGACACTTCTTACAACAGAGCTACCACCTGTTTCCGAGTGCGAAATTTAAATTCCAGTTAGTCAACCCTGCGCCGAATTACTACTACTACTGCCATTATTCGCTCACGAGTATTTGACACGCATCAAAAGATGGTTACGCAAGGCGTTTCCTGTCATGAGCTTTTGTGTGACTGAAAAGCCCGATACGTGATGTTATCTCTCTTCCGCACTCCGGTTGCCACTTTTTGGTTGTCGTTATTAACTGAATTTACAATTCTCCTCCATTGCGTTCTATTGTGCGCTGCTTCCTCCCACTGATGCTGCATACTTATCCCCTTTAGGTTTTCATGAATAACATCCTTGTATCTTTTGAGTTGTCCACCCGGTTTCCTCTTACCCTCTACAAGTTCACCGTAAAGAAGGGATTCCGGTAGGCGGTTTTCTTGCATCCTGCATACGTGGCCAGCCCAACTTAAGCGAGATTTAGTAATCATGACTTCAGCGCTCTTGCAGCTTGCTTTTTTAAGGACTGATACGTTTGAGACATGGTGGTACCATCTGATTCTTAAAAGTTGTCTAAAGTGTCTCTTGCAACTTGTTTAATGCGCTCGTGTGTCGGCGGTACGGCACCCAGGATTCGCTTCCATATAACATGGTGGGGATTATTACTGCTCGATACACTGCAAGTTTCGTTTTTGTGCTCAAGTCATGACTGTAGAAAACTCTTTTAATTTCTAGAATGCTCTTGAGGCGCTGCTGATTCTGTGCTGAATTTCAGAGTCGATATTTGCCTTTTCCGAAATCAAACTGCCGAGATAATTAAATTCCGATACATATTCCAATAGTTCTTCTCCGATTTTTATAGCACTGTTATGATTTTCCGGGGGAGTGCACATGATTTTTGTTTTATCGATATTTAAGGCCCAAAGTCTCGTATGCCCAGGTATATGTGTTCAGCATTTCCTGTAATTGCTGTAACGTATTTGCAACTAGAGCGCAGTCATCAGCGTATTGGAGTTCTGTGATGAATTTTATACGTGTTTTTGCCCTGAGTCTTTTTATGTTGAACAGACCGCCGTCATACCTGTATCTAACACCCATTTCTCTTTCCTGTAGTTTGCTGTCCACTATAATAGAGAGCGCTGCCATGAATATGTTGAATAGGAGAGGAGCTAGGACACATCCCTGCCTAACTCCTGTATTTGTCAGGAAGGGATCGCTCAGTGATTCATGATGTGACACTCTCGACTTGTTGATATGGAGGCTTTTACACACACTAAGAAATTTGTTGGGCACTCCAAAATTTTGCATAATTGCCCAAAGTGCATCTCTGTTTACAGAGTCGAAGGCTTTCGTTAGGTCGATGTAAACATAAAGTTTACTCTGCAGCAGTTTACTCTGCGCCGAATAGTTCATGGTTGGCAACAAAGAATTTAAAAATCGCGCCCTCGATTACGTAACTAAAAGTTTAATTGATATCAAATATATTATCCCATGTATAAAATTATCGTGTCACAGTTAGTCACTATCACAGAATATACTAACGAAAAAGAAGCCCAAGTTCCTTGTGATAAATCGGTTCCATTTTCGTAGCGCCATCTCTCGTTGTAGCTGACATTTACAGGATAGCCAAAGTGCAGGGCCGGGGGGAACAGGCGGGAATTGTAAAATACATTTTTTTATTTTAATTATTTTTATTCGCTATTTGCAATTTTATTTTTAAAACATATTATGTGTAACAATCACATAATAATAATAATAATTATATAACTTAACTCTTGACCTTAGGTCTCTTGTTGAGACCCGGATTCACCTATTACCGTCAATTAAGAAGGCGAGAAGAGAATGGAATGAAATAATAATAATAATAATGTCTGGCCGGCAAGGGTAATGCAACTAGCAGTATACCTACCGCTATCGTATGCGGAATCGGTACAGCCAGTAACGCCAGCTTTCCGCTATCCCTAGACCCCGCCCAAGTAACACAATAAATTATTATGGGAGTGAAGTGTTTTATATACGATTTATTAAAGCGATCTCATACACTGAATTGCTATGTAATAAACGCAAATAACACAAATTTATCATAGAGACAAATGTGTTTTATTATTTTGTTATATAGATGTTTTGGCCACTAATTTATAAAACATTTTTATAAATATATTCGTTAATATGCTCAGGAACGTTTATATAACAAATCTTATACAACTATTTATGCTTGAGTTAGATATATTTTATAATATAATTTAAAACAATTATAAAATATTTACAAAACAGCTATAAAAATAGCATTTTAGTTTATTAAAACATTATCGACATGTTTTATAGCTGTTTTTACGACTGATTTATAAAACAATTTGGTCTTCGCAATAATTTAGTCGCGACCGCTACTCTAAGAAAACAATTTTATAATTGCTGTTAAAGAAACGAATTAAAATTCTTAT